TAAATTCTCGGCCCTTCAAAAAATATTTTAAAAACCTCATCAATTCAAATGATCACTTACCTCATTCTAGTTCTCTCTGATCCTTTTCATAATTCAATTTATTTATTTATTTATTGGTACCAGGATCAAACTCAGGACCTTGCCCTTGCGAGGTAGGCAGCAGCACCACTGAGCTAAATCCCTAGCCAGAATTCAATTTATAATTGTAATCAGTGTACCTTTTGTTGGGTACTGTTTTCCTTATTTGGAGACCGCTCACTCTTTTATGCATTGAAACAGTATGCTCACTTTAAAAGCGTATGAAGGGTTTTGATTTATTGATATACAATGTAGTTTTTCCAAGATGAGCACAATGATTGAAACCAAAGTGCTTTCCATGGAAGTAGAACTACATATCCACAATGGATATTTAGTAGAGGAGAAATTACAACAACAACAACAACAACAAAACAATTCTAAGAATTATTTTAAGTATTTCTTTTGGGAACAAGTTTTATTTTATATTTACCATGTGTTGGTCTGGTTGTGGTAGTAGAACAAAACACCCAAGGCTGGGTCATTTATAAACAACAGAGATTTGTTGCTCCCAGTTCTAAACATTGAGATGTTCAGTAACAAGTCACCAGCAAGTATTGTGTCTAACAGGGCTGCTCTCTGCTTCCTTTCAAGATGGTGCCTTGGTAATGCATCCTCCAGAGGCAAGGAGCACTGTGTCCTCCTAGGATAGAGTCTGTGTGAACACCACTGCTGTCAAGTTATCTTATGAGAGTCCTGTGCTCATGATTCAGTCACAGCCTAAAGGCCACATCCCACAACACCACTTCATTGGGGAATAAGAATTTTGGAGGGAACAAAAATATTCAAACCACACAGTGCTGGTCATTGGAGAAGGGCACAATAGAAATTAAAAAGCAAAATTATAACATTAATAATTAACGAACACGAGGAACTCCAGGGGCGCAATATATCGGTGCTGAGTACTTGCATCAAAGAAAACGGGTCTGTAAGCCAAGCCATGTACTTAAAAACATGGTCTATCCAGGGTACATTTCCACGAGCCTGTATATGTTGTATCTGTAAAACGGAGAAAACAAAACAAAACAAAAAAAATCACATTTTCCCCAAGTTCCTAAGGAAAACCTTCAAATTTGAAAACCCCACTAGGTCTAGGGCAGAAAAAGGAGAACAGAACTGGACATATTCTCTGGAAGGAAAAGGTAGACCGGAAATGCCCATGGGCGGGAAAAGGTGGACCGGAAGTGATGAGGAGAGCGGGCGCTTTCCCTGAGGTGACGGAGCCAGCCGGCTGTTTGCAGGTGGGTGCCTTAGGTCAGTCGGGTCAGGGCTCCCCAGGGGCAGGCCCGCTCCCAGGGTGCCGTCCCCGCTCTGCAGCCCCTGTTGCCGGTGGGCGGGGCGGTCCGGCC